ATCTAGATGCGCACATTACAATTCGCAGTTTATCATGTTCATTCTGTAGTAAAATTGCGCCAAGTCCGTAAGCTGATGCATCAGCCATAACAGTTGCTTTTGCTGTTACATCATACCGTGTCAAACAAATTGATTTCTTAACTAATTCAATTATTTCTGAAAGAATTTTCTGATGATCTTGGGTCCAACAAAACTTTCTATTTTTCTTCGTAAGTTCACGAAAAGCCTCCGTTTTCCCTGCAAGGTTTGGAACGAACTTGTTAAGTTGATTTAGCATGCCATTCAAACGACGAATTCCTGATATGTCTTTTGGAGTAGGTAAATCCTCTAAGGCTCGCACACGATCAGGATCAACCCTTATTCCTTGAGAATCAATTATATTACCCAGAAATTTCACTGATGTTTGTGAAAAAGAGCATTTTTCTTTGTTTAAAACTACATTAGCATCTTTCAGTCTATTCAAAACTTGAGTTAATCGATAATCATGTTCTTCTGGCGTCTTCCCATGAATAAGTAAGTCATCCATATGACATAAGACTCCCTCTAGTCCCTCCAATAGTTTAGATATTTGAGCAGAAAAAAATTCTGGGGCTGATGTGATTCCAAAAGGTAGACGTTTAAAGAAAAATCTTCCAAATGGTGTAATAAATGTTGTTAATTTAGCAGTATCAGGTGACATTTTTATCTGCCAAAACCCAGATTGCGCATCCAATTTTGAAAATATTCTAGAGCTTCCAATCTGGCCCAAGGTTTCTTCAACATCTGGTAATATGATTTTTGGGCGTTTCACATTCTTATTCAAATCTGTATAGTCTACACATAATCGTAAACTACCGTTTTGCTTAATGACTGGGACAATAGGTGCACACCAATCAGTAGGCTCTTCGATTGTTTCTATTACTCCTATCTTTAACATTCTTTGCAACTCTGCTGCTACTTTAGGACGGAGAGGAATTGAAATATTCCGAGGGGCTCTAACTGAATATGGTTTAGCATCATCAATTAGTTCAATTTTGTATTCTCCTGGAATGTTACCTAATCCCATAAAAAGCTGGGGATACTCTTGTACAACTTTATCTAAGGCGATTGATTGAATATTGCCTGATTCATACGATTTTCGAACTGTGATTAGGTTAAGAGATTTTATGGCTGTAATTCCGAGCAAAGGTTCACTTAAACCAGGAATTACATATATTTTTTCTTTCACTTTCTGACCATTAAATTCTAAATCTGCCGTAAACATGCCATATCGCCCCGATGCCATCCGGTATCTTTCGAATCTTTTAAACCATTTTTCCCATTTTTCTGGGCACTGGAAGTCAAATTGAGCCGGTGGTTGAAACGTGATGTGTCGACGGCCGACCGATGAATTATCTTGTAATTCACCAAATGATTCATCAATATTCTTCTTATTTTTCTTACGACTCATGCTGCCACCATGTAGAATAATGAACGTAGATATTAAATAAAAGCGTATTAAGAGTAAAATATGTAATGTGTGAAATACATACGTTAATCAAAATTATCTGTCAATCTACATAAACATTTAATTCTAGTAGTCGCTTACGTCACAGACATGTCAAGATTGGTAGGTAGGTAACTGTTGATTAGATCAAATAGGCCGTCTGTAGGAAGGGATCATTTCTGGTTTTTCCATTTTTTAGCCAATAGGGAGGTTCGATATTTTTTGTATTTCTTATATTTTAACTAAAATTGAGAGATTTTGTTATTAAAAAACGATAAAAAAAAATTTGAGGGCGAAATATTGATATTTACGAGGATATTTACGTCCGCTGTGAGCGAGACTAGGCTCGTGACGTCAGTAGCCAACACATTTGCCGCCGCGCTAGCAGATTATACGAATTCACGTAAACTGGGATCGATTTGTTTATTTTATTTATTGTCTGCACAATGGTGCAAGGATGCAAGCGAGGATGCAAGGTTATCAAAAAGTTGATTCGCGAAATTTTTTTTACGTAAATTCGTATAGTCTGCCAGCGCGACGGCAAATGTGTTGGTTACTGACGTCACGCGGTATAGGCTCGCGCACGGGTACGTTTTATTGCTTCGCGCCGACCCTTGATTTTAAAATACTTACAGTGGACGTAAATATCAATATTTTGCGTCCAATTTTTTTTAGTCGTTTTAAAAGAACAAAATCTCTCGATTTCAGATGAAATCTCGGTTAAAATAAAAAAATGTCGAACCTGTCTATGAGGTAAATCCTTTGTCAAAGATTACGCGGTTACTGATTGGAGTCCCAAGAACATTTATGACGCAATTAAATCCTGTAGTCTGCAGGAATTTACATTTTTTTCAGTACATGGATTTGGTTTATAGGTAATTATTTAAAAAAGTACTTGTACGATTTTTGACTGTTAGCAGGTGTCTCGGCAGGTATGTATACTTAGGCAACTAAACTATCACGCTACCCGTCCCACCAACTCATTTCAACCAGACTTCTAAAGGCAATTAACGGTAGATATACAGTGTAGGTTAAATGGAGGCAAAGTGTCCCTTTTTGTGATAAAAAAACGCATTTGAAATTTTTTAAAAACCTTTGGATATAACCTTTGAATAAGTATAAAATAAATTTTATATTCAAAGATACAGGGTTATCATAAAATAAGGGATATATTTTAAATTATTAGAACTTTTTAACAAACTAGTTAATAACAAAAAATAAGCGAAATCTAGTGGCTTAAGGAATGGGATTTTATTGCCGGTATGGGAAACAAAATTGTTGTTATTTTAATTGTTGACATGAGTGTCAAAACGAAATCAGGAGTTTTAGTTTGAAATTAAAACTCTGGTAAATGTAGAGTTCAAATGAAAGCGTACCGCAATTTGATACAAAAATTTGAAAGACCAGGGTCTGTAATTGACCTACCAAGATCAGGAAGACCAAGAATTAGTGATGTCCAAGTTGCAGAGGTCTTTCATAAAAATGTTACGGAATGCTGTGTACAATTTCGGGGAAAGGTTGGTAATCTTACAACAGCAAAATGGAGGTCATATTGAGCAATTGCCGTAACTGGTTTTGGGCATACTAAATCCCATTTCTTAAGCAATTAGATTTCATTTATTTCTTGTTATTAACTTAATTTGTTAAAAAATTATAATAATTTAAAATATATCCCTTATTTTATGATAACCCTATATAACTGAAAACGTCAAATTTCGATTTCATTTTCCCTAGCTTAAACGGTCGAAAACGGACGTTTTGGATCTGTTATCAGACCGCCATATTGGATTTTTAAGGAATGTGAAGAGGACAAAAAAAGAAGGGTGAGATCCTTACGGAGATCGCAATGGTGAAACATGACGGTGAACCACTCTGTAGAACAAAACATATAACCTCCGCTGATAATATCTACATTTCTAGAAGGAACAATTTATGTAGAAATTGTGTCAAAAATCAAAATACAAACAAACAAAATGACATTAAAGCATGGTCAAAATATTAAGGAAGCTCATAGAATCCATCCCCTCGAGTAGATTTTGAGACAATGCGCCCTATTTTTTATAATTAAAAATTTGTCTGTAAATAACTTTTTGGCACACATGTTGTTTTATGAATTGTTGTTAGTTGGCCATAACCCGTCATTTCTTTGGTGCTCGTGTTATTTTCGCCGCCATGACACCCTCGCACAAAAATTTGGCAAAAACTGTTAAATTTACGTATACATTATATGTATCTGAAGTGTATATAGAATTTTATATGGAATCTAAAAATGAAATAACATATAGGGCGTTCCATTGGTATAACCAGAACTCCCCACAAACTTCTAAATACAGGTTGATTCAAAAAGAATATCACAACTTTAAAAATCGATGGGAATTTTTGAAGTTCCTTAGTTTTTTATTTGTCCGCTGTCGTCAAAGTGATTGGTGTTGACATGCCAAAATGGCGACCGCTACACATAAAGCATTTTGCATCAGAAATCAATTGACGACAGTTGTTTAGCGTGCAACCTACTGATAGGTGGTATATTAAACGTTGGTATAAACAGTTCATTGAGAAGGGGTGTTGTACAGAGTTCAGGACACTCGCCCACGTATATACTTATCGTTTTGATATCGGTCAAGTGTCTGGAGGAGGCCGTATTGAACATCTGTAAACTTATTTCCTAGTGGAAAAAAAACCTGTTCATTTTGATTTATAACCCATGGTTCTATTTTGATTCTTTAATTCATTACAGATTTTCAAAGTTGCGGTATTCTTTTTGAATCGCCCTATATTTTAGATGAATATCTCGTATCGACCTTAGGATACTGCCAAATTTTCAAAATATTTGAAGGTCTCCTTGTCGAGATATAGATGGTCGACATTCGTCGTAGGGCACCTTATGTAAGATAACCATCTTCAGCATTGTACAACAACATTGAAGTCACTTGGAAAACTATCCCAGGAACGCATTTTAAAAGGAGCACTAATTATTAAGTTTTTTCAGTAGCATTTTCACTGAAGTATTCTTCTGTAAAATGTAGGAGTTGGAGAGAGGTGCGATTTTGCTTTAATCTAGCGCTGTCTAATATGCACATGCACACACATGTTTCCTTTTTAACTTTTTAAACCAATTGTATAAGCTTCATCTTTCATTTAAATAAAACATGCAGTGACTTTTGCCAATGATTCTGATCTTGAAATTCCAGTCATTCGAGAGATGTTTTCTGGACGCATTTTAGATTATGTCGGGAATAACACTGCATGCTTTATTTTTGATATGTCTTTATAGAATTCAACTCGGTGTTGGTGCCATTATGTAAAATTATTACAAATATCCTGCTTTGCTGATGATAGTGTTTTTGCTTGTAATTTCAGTCAGCTAAATGTTAAACCTAATCGGAAGTAGTGCATGAAGATCAAAGCGATTAAAGCGCGTTTCCAATTTTTTGAATGAATTTTAGACTTTGATCCAAAATTCTTTTGGAACTGGTCGGATTTCCAATCGTACCTCGACTGCATGCTGGTATTTACTATCCTAACGTCACTTCTAATGTATCTGCTTATCGATCAATCGTATTTCGTCGAACTCGTCGGATTTTTGGCTGTGTTCACCGAGGCCATGCTCGGTACTCCACAACTTGTAAAAAATTTCCAGCACAAATCGACGGAAGGCATGAGGTTGGTTCTCAATTGCTCGAATAACATGTACAAAAGTTGTTTTAGCATCAGTATGGTGATAATGTGGACGTGCGGCGACATATTTAAAACTTTGTATTTTTTATTTCGCGAGGCGCCGTTGCAGTTTTGGGTTTGCGGATCGATACAGGTTGCGGTCGACGTTTTAATTTTGATACAGGTTTACGTGTACAAACAACATGATGAACCTCAAAGGATGCGACCTCACCGGGGGGATTGAGTAGCCATGGTGTGGACTCACGATGATACACAAAATAACTTAAGTATGATACAGGCAAACCAAGTAGATAAATATTGCAGATACCCCCATAAAATGCATCATTTCAATCCGACGACTTCCAAAACTACTTGTGATGTTAGTAAAAGTTACGTAATCAATACGATCTCGAGTACAGGACCAACTGGTGAAGTTAATAGCGTTCATTGGAGGAGTGCGGAAGCTAGTAACAATCTTTTACACAATCAAGAAACTAAAAAGACAAATGTTCATTTAATACAAGCGGAGATTCACAACGAAAAATCTAATTCCGCCGTTCCCTTTTTTAACTGTCAGTATAAAATACAATGTAGTGATCCAGTTGTTGAAGATAAAAATGTGATTATAGCCAATGAGGTATTAAAGAAAAATGTTAATTTTAGTAACTTTGAGAAAGGTTGTAAGTATAATTTTAATTATAACAGACACGGAAAAAATAAAGTTAATATGCTTGTACATAGGCACACGTTATGACGTAAACTGTGACTGTTAACAAAAGTTTTTATTGATAAACATTTAGAAATAATTGCAAAATAGTTATTTGTTAAATATTTTCTTATATCCTAACACTGTCGGTTAATTTTAAGTCTTTTTTTAATATTTTTATAATCATATTGACGATGATTGTTTTCCAACACCCTCTATTTTCACTGCAAAACAAACTTCAATTTTTGCAATTCCAAGGGTACAATTAGTACAAATAACACGTTTAGTTAATTGTCAATTAAATCACTGTTTGCTGTTGTAGAACAGGGTTTGGGAACAGTTGAAATATATCAGCTTGAAAGTTTTAATGTCGATTTACAATAGGCGCTTTTTAGTTAGATATTGTGTAAATTGGAATCTGCTAATATGCTTTCTTTTGAAGGTGTTCCACCTTTACTCTGAACATACCACGTAACTAACTCACTTTGCAATACCCGACTATTGATAAGAAAATGTGATTTTTGTATAATTTTAGACCGAAAAACATGTTTATCTTTTGGTACCTGCTGTTTAGAATAAGTTATTGAATGGCATTTTTTTTATTACAACGCGACTGAAGGTTTTCTTCTCGTTAAGAATATTTTGTATTTATTCCGATAATATTTTTGTAGTCGAAGTATAACTGAAAGCTGTAATATTTATGAATAGTCTGATTTTTCTCTGTAGTATAAGTGGGTACCGTTCGCTATTTATTGAACTATTTGATAGTTAATCTTGTTACTCCTACTGTTTATTTATATCGTTGACTTAGTCAATTCCTTGTAAAAAATATTTTTTATAAAAAATAAAACAATTGATGCCTTAAAATTAAATTGTTGTGTCTTAGGTAAACAAAATGGCTAAAAGATGGTGAAGATGATAAAAGCAGATAGTTAATGTGATAGAATGATAGAGACTCAATTAGATTACAACAATAATACACGACGAACTTAATCTGGAAAGTCGTTACTCGTTTTGAACCTAATCAGGCAGTGTCTACAAGATGCTAGTTTTAAATTTTAAGTCTGACGTCAAGTTCTTTTCAGTTGTTCATGTGTAATAGTTTCAACTATTAACCTATTCTCTTAAATGAATCCATGCTTCGTCTTCAAAACTACATTAAAACATTCCGATATCTTCGTGTAAAATTTTGTGCCACATATTACCTATGTGCGAAGTCTGAAATAATAACAAATAGAGATGTTATCGTGGGCATTGTTATAGCCATCACCTTGTATAGATAATTTTCGAATTAATTTCTTTGAGCTATGTTCTCTTACATCAATATCCATAGCATTTAAACTCCTCGTAGCCCCCTCCCACAAGACATCATCAAGTCCACGTTTGACACGCAATGAATAATGCGATTTATTAATTAATGTACCTACATATTTATGTATTTTCCCCATTGCCAAAAGCGTAGAAGGAACATAGAAAGCCATGATGATCTTAGAATCCCCCCGATCGGGCACTGTAATTTCGACTTATCCTGTACTTACAGTTGGCAACTCTGCAACTGCAGTCATCTAGCCGCCATTTCGTAATCTCGAACGTTTTGGGCACTTTCAAATCTCAATGGTAATCGGTTCGAATTGGGTGGTACTGTATACAAATGTCGGTGTTTTATGCGTTGGGACGTAAGACAAGAAAAATGAAATATTATATTATAGCCAATAAGCACACGAAAAGGCCAGGGAAAAATCATCATTGGACAAAAAACCCAAATACAAGAAATAAATCAATTAAGACAACAAAATGCAAGAGAAATACACAAATCAGACATTGTACAATAAAAATCAGGTATCCCGTATGCAGTCAAATGCGCTAAAACAAATTAATAAAAACGAGATACAAAGTCACATGGGAAATACTATGCGATCAAAAATGAGTTGCTGTCGAGTCACTTTTTGGAATTTTTGTTTACGTTGGAATACGTACTTAACTTGAACGTCCAAGGCGACTCGACAGCAAACTCATTTTTGATAACGCCCGTTACAAGGGAAAGCAAGCATTTTAGTATAAAAATACATCTACGGTTCAATTTAGACAAACTGGTAAAATGATAAATTGCATCATTGAATAACGAAGTCAGATTTTTCACTCGCATCAATGATTGCATGTACCATATAAAAACACATCAAAATGGCATGGCTCTAATCCAGCATAGGCTACCATTAATTTAACACGAAAAGTGGAGGTGAGGAGGCAAGCGGCCGTTATGATAAAATCGATTATCACACAACCAGACCCCACATATAGGTACTAAAGAGAAGAAATGTTAATTAGAGGGAGTTGGGACACGTGTTACAAGCATGACCTGAATAAAAAAATATGACATTAGATACAGTAAGAAAGAGGGAGAGGTATAGAGAACTTGAAGCGTCGGTCTCAGAAAATCGGGTACCTGTAAGTCTTCAGCGATTATTATTTGATTGAAATTGACATACAGTAGCTTACACCCATGATTATATTCACAATTTCCAATTTAATGATTTTGATTTTGTTTTTCCATGTTAGGTAGGTATATAATTAACCATGAGCATGAGCCGCTCATTATCGGCGCACGGACTCTTAATTGGGATGCGATAGACAAATCCATTTTAATTCGGCTCTGTTTTAATTAGGAATCCCCGAGGAAATCTCTTTTTAGGTTCCATATTTCTCCTATTCATCCTTGTGTTTGTTTACATTAAACTTTGTAAATATTTATAGCGTTATTGAGATTTTTGAGCTTTTCTTATTGCGTGTATTTAATAATAATAATAAATGCCGTTTATTAGACTTCTAAAATAAACATATAAAGCAATGCACAAAGGAAAAAACTATACTGTAGCTAGAAGTCTAAAAGAGCGAAGTTTATAGATGTTCCTCATGAAACATGTGATACATTTGCTCTATCACTTTTAACCCTTTTTTGGTAAGATTTCTGTACGTGCTGCTGGTAGTTTGGTTTGATATTTACAGGACACTTGGTTTACAAACGCGCTTTGTGTAGAATCATCACCAATTGTTTGCAACTATACTAAGTTAGGTAATCAGAATTGGAGAGGCGTATAAGAAATGCAAGTGTATGTGTAAGATGCAATGCTGGAACAGGTAGAAAGGTGTAAATATCTAGAAACGACTGTAACATCATTGGACAAGCTGAAAAAAAATAAACACGCGCATTGGACTGGTACAAGAAGCATTTGTCACGAAAAGTTGAATGCTGCGCAGATGTATGTTACGCTGTGCGGATGTGAAACGTGGACAATTTTTAAAAAAATATAAGAAAAGGACTGAAGCTATGGAACGTGGATGTGGAGAAGAATGCTTGGAATTAAGTGTAGGTCTGACAGGATTCGAACTGGTAAGTACCTACTAGAAAGAATACGAAAAGAAAGATATTTGTATAAAAAAATTTTGACAAGGAAAAGAATGTGGCTTGGTCATGTGTTTGCTGAAGGATGTGATCAAAGCAACTGTACCTACACTTTAATCTCATTGATCCTTGATTCGTTTGAGGCTCTTTGCCCATTTGGATCCTTTATAATGCCTGTGATTCCTTTGACGATTCGTATGATCCCTTTGGGATAATGTTCGTTTAACCATTTTGATCACTTTGATTCCTTTGATTATGGACTGTTGTTAGGTAAAATGAAACTATCATTTTGATCGCTTGATCCATCTGATTCCTTTGTTCTCTTTGATCTTTTAGATTCTTTTATTTCTTCTGAACTCTTTGAACCTTTGACCCCTTTGCCCGTTGATCACTGTGATGTCTTTGACTTTGACCACTTTGATTCTTATGATCCTTTAGATCCCTCTTTTGACTCTTTTGACCCATTTGATCCTTTGAGACCGCTTTTGCCGTTTTGATCCTTTCCCTTGCCCCTTATGATCACTTTTAGCCATTTAATCTTTTTGAACCATTTAATTCCTTTAATCTCTTTCATCCCTTTGATTTCTTTGACCTATTTTTTTCACTTTTATCACTTTATCTACAAATTAATAAACAAAATGAACAGCATTATTTAAACAAAACTAACCACATATAATTCCGATACAAAATAAAATTGACTTTGAATTGAAATAATTACGATCGGATTTGCGTTTAACCAAAAAAAATACGACCACATTTTACACTTTAAAATAATTGAAATACACATACAGAGTGACCCCTCATGACTGCAGATGCCGCAGCCAAATAAAACGTCCGCCTGACGTAGTTTACAGAACAATATCTACAGATTCTCACATTATCGTATGCTTTTTAGTGCACTTTCACTTTAAAAAAATAAAAAGTGCACTTTTTCGCTCTTGATAGACATCTGTCTGTCTGTCTGTCTGAGTCACATTTTTCATGTTTGTATTCTTGTTAAGGCATGAAATGTCCATAAGGGACATCGAAAAAACTAATTTGAAAGTGCACTCTTCGCCTTTGCTGACAAGCGACTTAACGAATTTTTTTTCTTATTGAAATGAAATTCCAGGGTTTTTATTCGTATAGGTGTCTTTCA